CCCGAGTTCTAGTTTCGAGAAATGTGTAGCCAATCAGCTTGCAGCTATTCCATAAAAGCTACAAGTTGATTGGCTACACTTTTCTCGGAACTAGAACTTGGACCAGGTTCTAGCATCGTGGACACAGGTCTATAAAAAGCTTCGCGAATTACGCACTCACGTGTGTAAAAATTGTACACTTGGATATGCAGTGCAGCTTACAGTTACATCTCGGCAGGATTTCCGAATGACGTCGAAAATAAAAATATACCTACAAAACATTTGTAGATGCGAACGCGATATTGGAATCTCGCGCGCAAGCTCCAGAGCGGCTGTTGCAGTGGTTGCAGTCGCAAAATACTGTTCTGTGATAACATCTTTAAGCGCAGTTCAAAACAAAGCAAAATTTTTCGCGAAATCGAAGTGTTAAATTACTGATTACACTGAAAAAAATTTCTGGTTGAATATGGACGAACCAGATAATTCCTGTAGGATTTACCAGAATTCCTGTAGGATTTACCAGAATTCCTGTAATCCTACAGAAATTCTGGTAAATCCTACAGGAATTATCTGGTTCGTCCATATTCAACCAGAAATTTTTTTCAGTGTACGTTGCTTCCTTTTACATTGCGACAACAATTATCGATACGAAAGTCGGGGGAATTTTACATATCGCGGTTGACACGCGTTTGACCGCGGTCGGCTCTCATTTTGAAGGAAGGAAGGGCTCGCGTGTTTCTTCCACGCGTCAAATTCTCGAAAGGAAAGTCGCTGCAACGAAAACCCGACGGTTTTGCCTCGAACGTATCGGTATCCCGGAAATGGCACAGTTAATGTCGTCGCGCGCGGTAAAAAAAAAAGAAAGAACACCGCGAATTCCCTCTCTGGCCGAGCAGAAAGTTCGCTCGCGCGCGGACCGCCAACATTGTTCTAGTTTTACGATATCGATACGGCAGGCTAATCGATTTATTTGTCGCGCCGCATACGCAAGCGTGACTCCTGAGTCATTTCCAGTAGGACATGATTCGATAACGAGTACATCCGTGCACGGCGAACGTTCGCGCCGTCACGGATTCACGTGCGCCTAAAGCACGTTATTATTAGCGCGTTATTGAGCAGCACGCATAAATAGTTATACAATATATGTGAGAACGGGAGTTCGTTTCTTCTCCGCACGAACTCGCCGTTTCGAAACGATCTTCTCCACCGCCGTGGAAATAATCTCGATTTCAAAATTTAACAGAGGGAGAGAGAGAGAGAGAGAGAGAGAGGGGGGGAGGGGAGGAAATTAAACTCCCGAATCCGTCCTGCTGCACTTGCGCGCTTTCTTATTGTTTTCAAGCGCGTTTTCCATAAAATCCTTATCTGCATCGATAAGACAAGAATAAATCCGCGTTTGAACTTTGCACAATCGACGATCCGTAAATAATGAATTGCGATCGCGCGCGCGATCGGCTTGTCTGAAACTTTCGAACGTATTTTCTTGAATAAACCACTCGTTCCCGTGCGCGTCCGGTTGCTCCCTTTTTCGCGCGTAAGCCGCGCGCTATTTTCGTAAATTCCCTCGGTCGCGCGCGCCCGATCGATACAAATTAAAACCTTTGATCGCGCGCTTTTCGAATCGGATCCCGCGCCGTAATCGGATTTATAAAGGCCGGCTTTTATTTTTTATTAAAAAAAAGGGTGGGGGGAGGGAGATTCCGAATCGCCGCGCGTTACGTCGAAACGTACGCTGCCATCGGGCGCACCCGACGATGGCACGATTTAGAAGCTTACGGTCATCGTGCGACCTATATTGGCCGCAAAGTGCTGAATTCATTATTGCCTCCGAGTGCCGCGCGCTAACGTTAATAATAATACGGCGAGATAATTCAATCGTGCCTCCGCGTCCTACGCTAGGTCGCCACGATGTCACTATTTTCGTTGCGAGCAAAATGCTCGTTGGATAGAAATTGCAGGTTTCGCGGACGATTAAGTCACCCTTTACCCTATACGCTCGACGTCATATCGGTAGTACAAATTCACTCGGCGGGAATAATACGGTAAGGTTCTCCACCGCCGCCGCCGCCGCCGCGCCCTTTAATCGTGACGTGGGTGACCCTCTCGTTATGACGTAGGCGCGAATTAGTGTCATTGTTCAGATCTGCGGCTCGTCGGGGGGGTTTACCGGCGAGCGCGGATTTGTCCGTCACGAACGAATGCGGGTGGAAAATCTCCCTGTCCTTCCTTCAAGCCCGAGGAAAATGTGACTCGGACAAATCTCGTGCTTGCTCGTTCGATCCTTCGAATGCTGATGTAACCGGAGCGTTCGGTTTTTCTTTTTTTTCAATGTTTCTAATCGGGTCCTCCTCGTTCTGTCGCCACAGAGGGATGACACGAGTCTACTGGCGCAGTTCTTCTACGCCGACGAGTCTCTGAACGCGGTTGCCTGCGAGCTGGACTCCTTCGACGGCCGGCAGGAGCCAGAGAGATGCACGACGCTGGTGAATCAGCTGCGACACTGTCAGGATAAGGTGCTGACGATCTGCAATCAGATAATGGACGACTTGATCCCGGAGAGCCGCGCCAATCGGGACTTCAGGGTGAAGTTCCCCGACGACGTGATGCAGGAGAATCTGGCCGGGCAGCTCTGGTTCGGGGCGGAATGCCTGGCGGCCGGCTCCTCGATCATGAACCGGGAGGCCGAGAGCTCGGCCATGCGGCCGCTAGCGAAGGCTCTCACCAAGTCGCTGGAGATCGTCAGGAACTTGCTGAGAGAGCACGCGCTCAAGGGTCACATGAACTTGAAGGTATTGAACGGATCGAGTAAGATCCGTCGGCCCGTTTGACGTTGTCGTTCGTACAATTTTAATACCCTACGGTGCGAGGTAAACGAAAGAGATTCATTAGGATTCGATAGGTTTTGGGAAGAAACACGACTGTCGATTTTATTCATTCGATTCTCCTGCTTATTGTCTCGCATCAAGTTTACGATTTGACGAGTAATCAGGCGCACTGATAAGCATTGTTTCTTCCCAGGCGCAGAATCCCCTCGAGCCGTCCTTGGAGAAGCTCATTGAGTCGTTGAAGATCTTCGATCGACTGTTTGCCGATTTCGAGCTGTGCTACGTCGGCGCCATGGTGCCGGTGAAGTCAACGAAGGAATACGAGCAGCAGGAGCTCGTGTGCGTGCTGTTTTCAGAGACCTTGCAGCGGGCGCTTGAACGCGGGCTGTTGGACCAAGCGGATGTAGACAACTATGAGCCAGCTTTGATGTTCACTATTCCCCGCCTGGCTATCGTCTCGGGGCTTCTGGCACCGCCTGGAGGACCGTTGTGCCTCAACTCGCCCGACACCATAAGCGAGATGTTTAGACCATTTAGAGTAAGGAATTGACTTGGAAATCGTCCAACGAATTTATTAAAAAATCCCCATCTGTATGATATTGTAAGCATGCAAAAAGTAGTCGTAGCCTTTTCAATTTATGATACGTCGATAAGCATTCATTTATCATCTCGTAGCTGAGTGTCGTATAAGTCTCCTCGCTTGACCGAGGTATGCGATAAATTTTTAACAAACACTCGTAATTTTGCAGACTCTCCTTCTCAAGATAAGAGAGCTATTATGGACGTTAAACAACCGCGAGTTGTACATGTTGGAGAAGCTTCTATGCTCGAACGAGGAACCGTCAAGCTCGATTACGCACTCGACGAAATCGGCGTGTCAGGACATACCGGATTTGGAAGAATACGTTCATAACTTTTATACCGGTTATCCGAACTGCAAGGAATTTATTGTCGATTTCTACACTGTGACGAGAAACACGGGCAGCAACATGGACGAGGTGGCGAACGACGCGGTTCAGTCGTTGGACGAGGGCAGCAGGAGTGATCAGTTACCGAGCAAGAGGCGCGAGCAGGGTAGAAGTGGGCGTAGGAGGAAGAGAAATGCGGAAACCGAGTCTGAATATTTAAACATATCCTCGGACGAATGTGATAGTAATGTAATATGTGACAGCGCCGAAAAGATGCAGCAGAGTGATGGGGAAAGTGTTGGTGAACGAATGCAATACGAACGGGAACTGTCTGACGCTTCGCGCGACATCGGGCAGTTCCTTCGCGACTGTGATTCAGTTTCTAATGACGGGAACGACGCGAGTCCCGACTCGATGGTGCAGAGTGACGTTGGGACGTTCATTCCCGTCGCGGGTACCAGCGCCTCGGACACCGTCGAGGACATGCGGACCGAGGAAAGCCTCGTCGTCCCCGACCTGGCGAGAATATTCGAGGGATACTCCGACAACATGGAGATCCCGCAGATGCAATATTTGCTTAACCAAGTTGTTCGCGAAAATATCGACAGCGAGGCGCACATATCCGAGAACGCTTTATCCGATCCAGACGCCAAGGAGCTTATCTCGGAGGCGAATAAAACGCTCTCGAATTTCCTGTTGGACTCTAGCGAATGTCCGAACGAGATCTCGGAGCAAACAGACTCCGGCATATGTACGGTAATATCGTCCGAGAACACCAGCTTGTACGACAAGAGTCCGGAGGAGAAGAAGACTTTCGATAACGAGATTCAGCAAGAGAGCGTCGGTGTGTCGGACGAGGAAGACGTGCAGGAGAACACCAGCTATTCTTGCTCTAACATGAACTCACCAAAGAAGAAGAATCCCGCTATTGCGGAGAACTCGTGCGTTTGCGGCACGAAGAGCGCTGGCAAAACGCCTACCTCGGATCATTCGATCGAGGTGCCCGGTCTGCATTCAAACGGAGACAGAGAGTCCACCGGCAAAAACATTCCACGGATATCATCCAACTTCGATGGCACTAACGAGGAGTTTATTGGCGTCGCTTACGGTAACGGCCAGTTGACTCTCTGCGATTCCAATCAATCCACCTTTCAGATAAACTATTCTGAAAATTGGGAAAATCTCAATTTGAACATAGACGCGTCGAGTTCCAGGAAGGAGTTCTGGGATGATTTAAAATGCGAAAATTGCCCGTCCACTTCTCGAAGTATCGAGAAAGTCGAGAGTAGGATAGAGAGGTACGTGCAGGACAAGTCGAGGAGAACGAGAGACGAGAAGCAACGACGGCGACACCAGCACAAACTCGACCGAAACACGCACAAAGCTCACAGCAGACTGGGAGAGAAGAGACACAACCTGCATATTATGCGGGTGACCACGAGCACCGACAGCTCCAGGTCGAATTCCACGGATCGATGCTTGAACGCACGATTGACCAGCCTCGGGGCTGGTCTGCATCTCGGCCAAAGCACCAGACAGATGCCGAATTTCGGCAGTCGCAGCCCTCACATAAGCCCGCGACTTCATCACTTCGAATCGCGCGGGCAATGCTGTTGCAATCTCGGTAAGCATTGCGTGAACAAACACTCGCCGCACAGCAGAAAGTTGCTCGACCATAGAAGATCCAAGTCCGAGCAGATCGCCAGAATGAAGGAAAGAGATATCGAGAAGAGGGGGAGATACGAACGGGATAAATATGCACATTTGGAACCTAGCAAGAGAAAACCTGGGAGCAGAAATAATCTGATGAACGACGGATTGGGCCCGAGAACGGACAAGAGCGGCTTGGCGACTGAGATCGCGACTACGCCGCAGAACGTAGTTTGTCACGAATATCAAAGTGCAAAGGACGCGCGCAGAGCTGCGCGGGCAGTGAGATTGGTCAACGCGTCGACGGTATCTGGCGTATATTTAAATCCTCATCAATCTTTGACCTACAAACCCGACGTAGCGTCAAGTTCCAGTTGTTCAAGCTGCTGCGATTCGAGTTCAGAGACCAGCGAGTTTCACAGCGACTGTCAGGACGACGAGGAGATTGCGCTGGCGATGCAAGCCGCCGAGATCGCGAATAGAAATCAGATCAGAGCTAAATTTCGGTAAGAGAATGCATTGTTACTTAGTGTAAACGATAACGTGATTATTCTTCGAGCCGCTCCTCTATCAGCATGTTTAAAAGATATTGATATTTACTAAATGTCGAAATTAGAAAATTTACTAATATATAGTTTGTTTTCCAGGATAACATAAAATACTATTATTACATTTCCAGATCGTCGGAAGATCTTGTCCATCGCCTCTTCGTTTGTATAGCAGGTGTGGCAGACCAATTGCAAACGAACTTTGCATCGGATTTGCGGAACATTTTGAAGTGCGTTTTTCTCATGAACAGTAGTCAAGCAATAGAGGACGTTGAAGAATCGAAGGACCAGGTTTTAGCTTCCACGGTGAATGCACCAATAGACACGGCGGAGACAGAAAGTATTCATGAGCGGCAAGAGTCGTTACCAGAATACGAAGATGTAGACGAAACCGCTGTGATAAACGACCGAAGTATGGATATATCGACTCTTTCATTCCTGAATTTTACCTAATAAATATGTGTCTGCCCGTTGTTAGTATCTGAATCAATTTTTCAAATTTGATCGTGTATGAATTAAACAATGATTTAATATTTATTAAATATTCAGTTCAAAATATTCCTTCCAAAGACAAAGATCTAAACCTTCAATATATTAAAATAAAAATAATAAATAACTGTAAAATTATTTGTTATATACGAATATAACAAATTAAATGTCTTAGCTTCGATTTTATGTGAAATATGGTACAATGTAAATTTTTCAGTACTGAGAAGATTTATTTTTTGCTCAGAAATTGAAGAAGTTACTAAGCTTCTCCCAGGAAATAGACACGTATTATTTGACATGTAATTGCATAAGAAATTTATATTGAATATAGTCCGTTTTTCGCTTCTATAGTTTCTCCTGTCACTGAAAGGGGGGAGGAATGCGTCGAGAGAGCGCCTACTTGGGTGCCGGACAACGATGCGCCAAGGTGTATGGCCTGCCAGGCAGGATTCACGGTTGTGCGACGTAGACACCATTGCCGAAATTGTGGTAAAGTGTTCTGTGGTCGTTGCAGCAGCAACAACGTTCCACTGCCTCATTTCGGGCACACGAAACCCGTGAGGGTGTGCAACAGGTGTTTTCTGTATCAAGTGACGCCTTTTACGGTTTCTCAAGTCTCGTCCACCAGATGAATGTTTCCGAAGTGGCTTGTAAATCCGGTTATTTTCTATCGAATTCCCTACGTGACACATTTCCTTTCCAATATAGCAGATATTTGCGCAAATTCAAGCAACCATACTTTTCATCAATAAAATAAGTAAATATCCTTGTATTTTATAGGAACAAGTTTCGAAGTTTCGTTAGAACATGTAATCATGTGATATTCTCATACGGTGTTGAAAAGTTTAGTTCAATGAATTAACCGCTGCTTCGTTAGCCGAGACACTTATTCAACTAGACAATTGGAAGTAAGTTTTTGAAATATTGGACTATATATATTTACTCCTCTTCTCCATTTTTATTCCTTAAGTGAATATAAAGGTACACTGAATATATATCGAAAGATCTGGTGACATTTCGATTTATCCAATTTTTTTTTCAATGTATAATTTGTAAAATAATAAAGAAGAACACTGTAGAGAGACGCGTTTGTACAATAACGAACTGAGAAATTGGAGGAAAATCGCCTGTCACTAGATCACTTATGTACGTTATTTTTACACTTGTGTGCACTTAATCTATAAAGTTAGATATATAGGCGCTAATCGCTCATATTTTTACAATCAAACTATAAATAGTGTACATACACCTGCGTAATGTATAATGTGTACATGTATGGGAATACGTATGCACGTTTAAACGAGTAACGATAAGGAATGACAGAACGAAAAAATTTCGCGTTCAATAGTTGGGTCACGCCGTAACTTATACCGCGAGATAGAATTTCTAAACGTCTACTGCCCGTTGAAGTGTTTTGGAGTATATACACACAGGTGCGTTAGCACACACCACTAGCTCCTGTGCCAAATTTACGACAATAAGTTTCCTCTTTCTTATATCTCGCACGAATTTGGTTCCTATTGGAAAGCTCGTACAAGATACTTCCGATTACTGCGAAACATTGTGTTACGTTAAAGGTCTGGATACCGCGAACTGTATTCGTGATAGACGATTACTCGCCGTAGTACATACGTGCGCTCCACGATTGACAAAAAGTATGAATGTACGAATCTTTTGCTCATTGACGTTTCATGAATTTGTCGCGATTTAATATTAATTTCAATTAATATATTTGTATATCGTTATCAATTTTGTTTCCAGTTACATTTTATTGTAAGACGTTGGTTTTCACGAGATGTGAAAAGATATAATAAATTTCATAACAGCTTTCCTCAAATTTTCGTTTTTAACGAATCTCAATTCGTTATTGCATTGATATCCAAAAGTCAATACAAATGACACGAATTCAAATTCGTGGTTTGACTAGTGGCAATTTTGAATGTGTATATAATATACATAATTTTAAAAAGTTTACTTTCATTTAAAAAAACTTGATAGAATCGAAAACGTATCAATGTGAAAATAAGTACGCGTCACGATCATGTATAAACGATTGTATAAACGGCGAGTCGATTGACTGCGATTAACATCATGCAACGCTGAACGTTAATTGAAAACGTTGTATATCAATAATCTGATCATTTAGACACGTAATTATGATTATCGAGTTTCATATGAACGTAACGTATAATAACGTTCTCTAAAAATAACGAATAACTGATATCACTCGGCGCGAACGGATTAGGAAATCGTTATGTATTATAATCGCGTGTGTGCGTATTGTAAACTACAGGTAAGACTTTTTACTATTTGAAGAAAAAAAAATTGTATAATATCTACGGAACAGTGCTTGTAAGTTCGTGAGAAAGTGTTAGCGGGGAAGAAATAAAAAAAGAACTTATTTCTGTAAGGAGCACATCGAGTAGGGGGTATAATCTTTAGATTACAGATGTTTAGACGGAGAGTTATTTTTTACATGTAATCGATGCCTTGCTAGAATATCGCGCTTTCGATTTCGAATGCGACGAAGGAAGCCTCCGGCTGAAAAAAGAAGTCTAGCGATTAAGCAGGAAACCGCTGCTAAGCATCTCATCTCCCTTATATATGTGCGAATCATTTTGGTAATCAGGTTTTCCCCTGTGCCTAAATTATCACAGGCACCGAACTATATTAATAGTGGAATGCTCCGACGCGCCCGAAAGATGATCCGAGAGAGATTTGAAAAGGTCTCGTGTGTCTCTCTCTTCTTTCTCTCTCAGAAAAATAGTCTAATAAACTTATTTGATGTTCTATAAAAGAATATAGTAGTAAAATATAGTAGTAAAATACTAGAACAATATATTGATAGCAGATTCGACCAGAATTTGTTGTAGATTAGCATTTATATTCGCATTGAGCTTGTGTGTTCTTTTCCAGTAAAGCTTGCTGCGACAATTTATTAATAAGATTTAATTAAATTAATTGAAAATATGAAATGGAAAAAAGAATAGAACTTTCTTCTTGTGGAAACAAAGAACTGTCAATGTAATTCCATAGCAATCACCGATCGACTCATATTCAGCAAATTTTTAATTCGGCTTCACTTTACGTATGTACCTATATGATTGGTATATATGAAATTTATTAAAGAACTAAAAAATTGAAAGAAACTTTTGAGAAGCGTGGCACTGCGCCTAATCTAATTCTCTCTCTTTTTCTCGGTGCAAACACATTTCGTGCGAGGCTTATGTGGGAAGAGGGGAATTCCAGTATTACCATAGTTCAGTGATCGCAGACTAACCTGTGAATATAAATTAAACGAAAAAAAATAATAAAAGGGTATAAAAAGGGAAAAAGAAAGAAAGTAGATGTGTAAAAAAAAAGTGACGAAATGAAATGAGATATATAGATTGGATCAAAAGCCACAATGTCGCGAATAAATTCGAATAAAGGAAAGCTTCATTTATGCGAAATGAAAATTAAAAGTACAATATACAATATTGATGATTGGTTGATATTGGCGGAATTGACATTGTAGAAGAGAACTGAGGCTTGTTTTAAAACAACTACTTTAACGATAGTTCGTTAACTAGCTGCAATGTCATTTCTCTTTCGGCGCGGTGATTTTGGTCCACTCGATATGTCGAGGGGGCTTACGATTTGCCAATTAATCAAGACATTTCCATTACGAGGCGACAGAGTGTGCCCCTCTGAATTATTTTTGTATTATTTGCCTAAGTGTACGCATAGAAACGTATTCTTAGCGCGTTTGACGTTTGATGTTGGAACGAGGGATCGTCGCGAAAGGCGCGTAATATCGGTTGGCCGGGGTAATGATCGATAACAATGTGTAACCAATGATAAAATGTTATTATTAATTGCTATTGACCATAGTACTGGACACACCGAATTCACTTCGATCGATATCGGAAGGCTAACGATGTACGACGTTATGTCACGTGTCACACGATTTTCAAGGAACGGAAAGAAAATATTTGTAGAATTATAGATGGACGTGTATATGCGTGTGTGTATGTATTTGTGCGTGCAAATAACAACTATTCGCAATATTACATCGCGGGACGAAATGTCTCTTTAATATTTGAATGCACTGTGGTTTCGGTAATGGATGTATTCAAACACGAATATAAATAAAGTTTGTTAATTAAAATGTTCCAGTCTCTCACTGTCTTCGGATACCAAAATCTGTCGAGAACAGATCTTGCAAGGCGTCCGCCACGAATCCTTCTCGACGAACCAAGTAGGGATTCATGTTAGTGAGCAGTAAAATTTGCTCGAACTAATCAGAAGTTTGCATTGTATTATGTATTGGTTGTGGTCAGTATGTTCTTTCTTGTGTTTCTGCAATTCCATGAAAAATGTTTAAGATGAATAATTTTTATTTTTAGATGACAATTCAGAGCAACAAATACAAATGACACTTGTTGATATTGCTTTGTAGATGTAGAAGTAATTAATATTGTATTTGCAGTTTGTTTCAGACATACATTGCATATTTGCTATATCAGTACTTAACAATTAGGAACACTTCATATTCAAGTCCGTTCCTATCATTTTCTTATCAAATTCAGATTCCGTTCCCCGCGACGTGGTCAACCTTCGCGTCAGCGATTGATGTATAAAAAGCTGGAAAAAATTTAAGCCACGAGGCTTAAGACGCAAGGGAAATGACAGTCAAGAAGCAGCCATAGTCTTACTGTTTAAGTTTCTTCAAGTGCCATGGCTCTAAGGGCCCCTCTCTATTACTTAATTTGTGTGTATTAAAACATTTCTTGTTTCAGCAAATCAAGCGGTGCGCAAGACGTTCGTGAAAATTCAACCAATTATTTAAACGCCTACACGCCCGGAAGAAAAAGTACTGTGCATCTCTCACATCAATTTATTAATAACAAAATTTGTAGCATAATATTAATTGTGTTACAATAGTTTATAATCGAGTTAAATGCTCAAGTTTCCGTTGACATTTTAAATAGTTAAAGCGTCACATGATAATTGAGGATCATAAAAACATCTCGACTAACTCGAAGCAAATACTATCTTAAGCACCAAAATGATAAAAAGAAAAATCTCCGGAAAATTCTTTTGATTTTTGTAACAGCTCCTTTATTTCTTGTCAACTGTTACTTGTACTAGCACTTGCTTATCATGGGGCGTATGTCAAGTATTTGTAATGTATGTATAGTTATACTTCAATGTTTCTGCGTCACGCATCTCTTGACTCATGTTATTACTTATTTGTTACAACTTTATTGTATGAAGTACCTGAAAAGAAAAGTAATGGCGCATGTTATACCTCGGCAAATTATGTTTCGTTCTACCATTACATTAATATCCAAAGAAATCTCGATGCATCGACTAATTACCTCAGCATTCGTTCTTAAGCTTCAGGTGTAGCTAACGGGGCTTCTTTCTTTTCTTCAATAATAATGGCATCTTTCTTTTCGCCATTGGATTTGTCACTTTCATCCAGTTCCTTTTTAGGAGCCACCTTTAAATATCACAGCCAAGATTTATATAACAAACATGTTTGTACAAATACATTTCTAAAATGATAAAGAAACGAGATCATTTACAATGCCGATGAAAAGGGGACGCCACAATTCAATACAGACGCAACATATTAATATGTGTAACAACACGGAGTATACATTTGGAATTGTAGCTTGTATCAAGTAAATGTTTACGGAAAGTTTTCAACAGGCTCATCAAATTTCGTAATTCTCTTCTTGTCACCTTATCAATTGTTATTCAACAAGAACCGCCAGACATTAACTCCAACTATTTACCTCCTCTTTGCTAGCTTCGTCAAAGTTCTCCACTAGGTCAGGTACCTCGTCGTCCTCTTCCAACGTGGTTTTCCCGACCGCGCTACCAGCGACTGTGCTTGCTAATCGTTTCAGCTGTGTCAGACCCTCGGGCCCGAGCTGGCTCAGTATCCCCGGTAACATCTCGGTAATCTGTTTGTTCTCTCCATGACCGGTGATAGCAAATGTATTAGCGGACAGACTAGCCTGGGCTTTTGGATTATTAAAGTGGATGACTGTGCCATCGTCCTTAATCATATTAACCTCCTCTATACCAGGAATTGTATTTACAGAAAGCTTCTTCAGACAACTCTGTAACTTCTTATCATCTGTGGCAGCAGTCGCGTGTACAACCTGCAAAAGCGAGGGACAACATGAGCGACGGTGTTCAACTCCGGGGCATCAAATGGAACGTTAGTGTTCCACGTAACGTTGCTCTCGCAGCGAATAAATGTTAAACCTTCCTTCTCATCTTGTTTGAATGCTATTCACGCATCACGCGAGTTCTGATGAATTGCAAAAAAAAAGCAATTAACGTACCGATCGCGTACAGTTAAATTTACCGTACAAATCACAGAAAAACCCGGATTACCAAGACCGTGGGGCACTGTTTACAGAGGAGTCCGTACAACACACCCACAAGAGGTATCTCGCGAAACACAGGCTGCAATTAACTGGACTAACAATTTCGCACTGGTGTCCCCGTGGCGGAAATGTCGCGGTGTCACGCGTATACCGATTTACGAATCGACGCGCGTGCTAGGTAAATGACGGCGGGTCGCGCCGACGGGGCGAGCCGGAGCGGGGAGAGAAACTACCCAGCACCGGCGATTACCTTCTTCTTGCGTCGGGGTGTACCCTTGCCGCCGATTCGCACTTGGGCCTGGAGCTTCTTGAGCTTCTCGGGATTCATGGTTTAACCTCTGTCGTGCACGAGGGGGGGGAGACGGGCGCGCCTGAGCGAGGGGCGACCGCGGCTAGTTAGCGCTGCCTCACGAAGAGAACCTTCCTCTCAGCCGAGCGAGTCGACGTCGTGCGAGCGCGAGGACCGGCTACACGCGACACGTGCTCTCCGATCCGTCTGAGATGCTCGAGAAAATGGAAGCGTACTCTCGCTCGCTCGCGAACCCCTACGTCAGAGCCGACTTCCGGACGACGGCGGCGGCGGCGGCGGCGACGGCGGCGACTGCGGCGGCGCGCGGAGCGCGCTTCCGCCGCGGTTCGAAAAGTCGCGCGCGCGGTCAGGGGCTCGACTTTTTTTAGTTGATTCTCGAGAGAGAAACGTACGCGAGAAATTCCGCTCTTACAGAACAGTCGCAAGTCGATTGGCTATTATTCGCTGTGGTTTAAAAACCAGTGGTTAAAACCAGTCGACCTTGAATATACTTTTATTTTGAAAAATTAATATCTGAAGTACAGCACATTGTAATGTTGAAAAGGATCTTGAAAAGAAATTTTGAAAAAAATGCAGGATTGGGAAAGTTACTTTATAAAAGTAACTAGTTACAGTTACAGTATTCTTTCGCTAACGCTGTAACTAGTTACAGTTACAGGTTACCAATTCTGAAAAGTAACGCGTTACAGTTATAGTTACTCGAAAAGTAACGAATCGTTACTTTGCAGTTACTCCCTTACAATAGAAATAAAAATATCGCATCTGCGTCTGAATTGTAAAGCGGCGATAAAGGCGTTTATGCGCAAATGCAAGGCCTAATGCGATCTGTGGAGGTTGACAATATATATAAAGTAACTATTACTGTAACTATTAAATTAGTTACTAGTTATCGAAAAATGTAACTGATTTAAGATACAGTTACAGATGTAGAGAAAGTAACGAAGTTAGAGTTACCAAAAAGAAGTAACTGCAACTGTAACTTCGTTACAAGTAACGAGTTACTTCCCAACCCTGAAAAAATGACAAAACAATAAAAACAAAGATTACCGCTCAGTGATGCATGTATTACCATTGTTAAGCACACTTGAAAGTTATCTTGCGCCAAAGTTAAAGTCTGGGTCTCTTTGACCTACTTGTTAGCCGCTTATCGGGAAGCGCACATAAGGGAAACGTATACGAAAGATAAAGGCAGCTTGTGTGACCGCAGTCAAAATTCCATGCAATCGAAAACACAACGGAAGCCTCACGTGACATTGAATTCTTCGGATTCTCTTTAGACTCTTCGAAGGGACGAAGGGACGTTCTACGCGTTCGAAAAATTAGATAATTTATACAGGAAACAAAGATGTCACAATATAATCGAAAGTTTTCTCGGCATTACAATTGTATGTTTAGAAAAGCTGAACGGCAATTTTAAGGAAAAGAGTTGTGGCAAACATACGTAAAGTATTAAAATTGTCCTGTATGAGATACAGAAAACGAATGTTTATTGTTATGAATAATATAGGGGAAGTCAACGGCAGAGATTACGATTGTATATTTAACATCCATTTGTTAATGATTTTTGTTTCATGAAATTATATGATGTACTTGCATATGTATGTGTGTGCATTATGTAAAATTCACATTTATACAAATTGGGTAAAATTAATTACATGTATACATAATTAGTCCACTTTTAAGTAAATTTATACATATTCGTGTCATATAATAACATAATATATACATATTCATTATGTAATGTAATTTAAATAAATTTATGTCAAAGTTTAAATATTCACAAAACAGAGCCAATAATGTTAAATAATATAAATACTAATATCTTTTTACATAATAGTATTAGAATCTAAAATATATATATTTACAATATATATTACATCTTTCAAACGTTACGATGCAATAGTTAATAATGTTAACACAATTCATGTGTGTGACATTTGATGATAATTTTCTCATAAAATTAAGTTAAGAACGCGAGATAGAGAATGAAGAAAAGGAAATTGTACAGCGCCTATCGTACATCGCTAATCGTGAATACTATACGCATAAAGAAAAGATTTCTCAAATCTCATTAATTATAAAGCAATATTGAATGTTTCTGATTAAATCACACTGCAATTGTTTAATTGTGAAAATTGCATCAGTCTTCGAATCATTGATGTAAAAGCATATTAACATTTGGACTTATGTTAAAAATATACAATTATTTTCATATCATTTGCTAATAAAATTTGAATTATTTTAATAAATTATAACATTGCATTTGTAACTCTTAATGAGATAATAATTGTTCTTGTGAAGTGTCCTTTGTCTTGTAAATCTTCAAGTATCGTTTAAATATTTATGATAAAAAAGTATAAAGTTGATAACTTTAAAAATGAAAATGTTAATCATGTTTAGAAAAGGTACCTTTTCTTCTATGGCTCGTTTCGTTCTTTACATGTCCAAATTCAAACCTAATTCTAAGCTCACCAATTTTTGAGATTGGCAAAATATCCGGTATCCATTCTATCAAAAATGGTGTAGGTTCGACTTGATTTGGAGAAGTGTTCCCTACAAGTAAACAAAGCATACATTAAACAGAAATATCCAACTAATGCTATCTGTTTATGAGTGACAGCATTAATGACAGATTTTTTAAGCAATAACGAGGACTGCCAAACTTCGATAAGTCTTTAGTAAATAATCAGAATCATCCTTCGCGTCTCGAACTCTCACTTACCCACTTTTAAATACGTTTTCAGCTCTAACGGTTTAATCAACGCATTGTTATTCGTCTTTTTGAAACGATCTATCTCCGTTTCCTCTCGCTTATACAATTCATACGTTCCATCGGCGTTCTGCACGAAACTTCTCGTAATCTCCAAAGGTATGTACGGTGTCTCGAAGATACTCTTTACGTGTAATATATTTGTAATCTGCCACGTGTATTTAGTGAACGTTCCAAGCGGTACCCCGTCTTTCCTGACAAATGCCGTCGTCGAATTCGGCAAACGTTTCTTCTTGCCGCCGCATGATATTCGTTCGCGTAAGCAGTCGAAGAATATCTGCGGCACGTGGAACACCAGAGGATCGGGCTTGCCGTCGAACTGGAAATGCATCGTCTGATTTATTCGCTCGGTTATCGAAGCGAGCCACTTGATAAACGGCAAGCTCGTGCTGGACTCGTCCAAGTCGTCGTAAGTGTTTTGGTACTTTTTAACGATCTGCGATCTTGCCTTCGTCTTTCTTAACTCAATCGAATTTAGATTCGAGTTACTATTGTTTATGTGCTTCTCGTCTCTTTTCCTTTTCGTCGAAATGGTCGGTTGCGATGCGTTACCTTCGGAATTTGATGTACTTTTATTATTATTATGTACTGTTGCATTTCTGTCACCTATTTTAACACCGCTGTTATTTAAGGTAACGTTAGCATCAACGAGCTTTGCATTAGTCACATCCAACACGGCACTGGCATCGAGAACCTTCAGCGTACTTGGATCTAATATTTTTATGTTATTATCATTTAATATGTATTGACTGCTATTGAGCACATTGTACTTTGTATCCATCGTCCCTCGATCATCCAGTATTTTTATGGTACTTCCTCCTCCCAATTGAACACCATTTTGATCAATTACTTCTAAATTATGAACCTGCACATACAAAAAACTTAATAACTTCAAGCATTTGTTTCTTCTCAGCTTAGCGAAATAATTTGTACGTTCCTTACAAATTAATACAAAAAAATCTTAATATCTTAACATAAATACTTGGTCCCTTACTTGTGATATTATAGTGTTATCGTCTAATAAGCTGCGATCGCACTCTACTTCTATATTTTCGACAATACCGTGCGGCAAAATCGAAGAATCCAAATTTATAGAATCCAAGTCTAATCTGTTTCCATCCAAACTTTGTACAGTTAACGTGTCATCACGAAAAATTAATAGGTGTGCGTCGGTTTCATCAGTGGTTAAACTACCGAGATCTGAAATTTTATATCATTACTGACGCGTTATATCCCATACAGCACCAAAGCTTTCAGAAACATTTCAGAAAACATTGTTGCAATTATTTGCTGTATGGGATTATCACTCAGAGATATGTGATAAATTTCTGAGTGCGAAATACACGCGCAATCTCACCAATTCCAATAATTTTTTCCTCTTCCTCACTCTGCGGCACAGTTGCTAGAGGCTTTTCTACACTAGACTGCATTTGATCTAAATTTATGTAATATTTATGTAATCTAAACTCTTCGGTTAGCTTTGGATCGCTAGCAAAAGCACAAATGCATGCGTAAAAGTGCACGCATCGCTTTGATTCCGACGACGACGAAGTGCTAAAGTCACCTTTATCGTCTATCTTTGTTATACCCTGTAAATTAATCATTCTTCAATCGAATCTTTTCGCACTAGAAATATTATTTGCATTAGTTTGCATAAATAAGTTCAAAAATTCCATTCTATTAAATATCCACGATCGATTCGTTGAAAGTGAAAACAAAATTTGTATAAAAATTATTATGCACATTTGCTTACCTTAAACGTAGTGCAACTGCAGAAGTAACGATGTTCTACTCTATCCTTTAATTTACTAACGAAGAAAGAAAAGTGAAGATAGCCTAGGGGATGTTTCGGTGAAGCTTTACATTTCACCGCCATTACATTCTTGGAGACTCTTTGTACTAAGGGGCCAGAAGTATCCGTCGCTAACAGCCATATATCTTGCTTGATCTCATTATCTACATTCAACGACGACAATATAGAATTCTTCAGAGTTAATGGCTGCGCTTCCGCGTAACATTTTAATGCCGTTTGAATGTGCTGGCACGGGAACACAGTATTTGAATAATCTTTCTCCTAAAAATGCAATTTACAAGAGTATATAAAAGTACAGTACGAATATACTTATAGAGACGCGTTGACATGCAAGTAAAATGCTTACGTGACATTTGAGGACGCTGGTATGAAAACTTCTCTCACAGCTGTCCACGAAGCACAATGCGGTGGTTTGTGAGATAAGCGTCGTAATTGTGTTGTTCAAAATCGCGGAATTTATCAACGGCAATTGCACGAAGCCGCGGTAATCAGGTCCCTTATCCTTGACTCGTACAGAGAACACTTGCACCGTCGAGCCTGTGATGAGCTTGCACGCCTCCGTGGACAATTTCCGCTTCTCGCCCGGCTCCTTGAACACCGCGTCGCAAAATTTGTTCTTACAGCAGAGACCACGCGATCCATTGTACGTCCCGCACTTATGACATTTTCGGACTCCACGAAGGGTAGCCTTTCCCAGATCCGACAGTAGTTTCTTCAGGCGTTCCTCATTGGACATAGCTGCTACATATTACAATAACATATGTTAGCTACTCAGGCAGAATTTTCGAGTTCGTCTTTTCTACTTCTTTCATCTCTTCAGTTCATAATCAGTAAATTTCTAACGGGACCAGACTTTTCTTTCAAATCAATTTCTTAAAGGGGCATTTCTCGTTTCCTCCTTTTTATCTCACGTATACGTCAGTCGAGTGAAGAAAGTTGAGCCGGTAAGAAACGTTTATTAAAGGAAATCGCACTAAAGAAAAGTACAATTGACCGGTGAATCTTTGTGTTTTTCAAGTACTTAAAGACTGCTTGTGTTTTCAAATCATACTCTTCGCTTTCTTCCAAGCAACAGCGAGCCACTCACAAGGACAATACCCTCTCGCTGAACCAGACAGAGAGAAAATAATAAACACTAGAGTTCCAGCCAATCATTGCGCACAAACCATACAAAAGCTAATGTGTTAAATCAGTACGGTCTATCTGACCTGGCAATTGTATGCGAGGGTGAAGGACCTTACTATTTAATGAACCTGGAGGTCAATTGAGTGGGACAATTCTGTATCTTGCGCTGTAGTGAAAAGGCGAAAAGTGAGCAGCTCTGGTCTCTTTCTAACTGTCCCCTTAGAAAGAGACAAAGCCGCTCACCTTTAGCGTTTTCACTATGCTGCGAGATACAGGGGGTCAATTCTGTATCCTACACCATAGCGAAAATGCTAAAAGCGAATGGCTTTGTCTCTTTCTAACCATCCCCTTCGAAACAGACAAAGCCACTCACTTTCAGCATTTTCACTGTGGTGTCAGACACAGAATTGACCCCCTGTATCTTACAATATAGTGAAAATGCTAAACGCGAGCGGCTCCGTCTCTTTTTAAGGAGACGACTAGAAAGAGCCCAAGCTAGTCGCTTTTAGCATTTTCACTATAGTGTAAGATACAGAATTGATCCCCTGGACAGATTTAAGCCGATATTCACAGTTGGATCTTCTATTCAAGACGATCTTAAGATCATCTTTAGATACCCCGTGGCCAATGAAACGTTTCGTACAGCATCTTTTTAAATTCAAGACGATCTTGAATATAAGATCCGACTGTGAATACCGGTCCTAGTTGCAAAATCTCACGACACGACCCGTACAAGTTGTTTCTTAACGCCGTTTGCATTATTCGGCAAATTAGCCGGGATCTTTCGAGGTCAAAAAGATTGCGTATAATCAAAAGCTGGGTGAGAATTTTAAAAAAGAAGAAAGGAGGGAACAAAAATGTCATACAAATTCAAACAATCTTCTACGAAGGTGATAAAGAGCCGCGTGTTCTTGACACGAGCAAGTACAAAAAATATGTAGTACACCAATATACGAAAGACAGAGATACTTTATTTTAATGAAATTACGTAAGTAAATCAAAGTGCAATCGAGACAAACGTGAGAGAAGCCGAAGTAAAAGTTACGAAAGTGCCACGGGAAGAGAACTCTGTTGTCGTTTCTCCATTAATTTAGGCTAGGCGTGCTGTGACGCGGAGATAACTGGAAGAAAAAGGTCGCCCTCGCGAGTTGCATAATAAAAGCGATAAAACGAACGTGCCGTCGCTGCATCTGCCGCAAAGGAGAAAAGGGGGAAGCCGAGGAAACGCGCATCTCGCGTTTATTCCATCGTCGCGGGACGGCATTACCCGGGATTACATCTCGCACAAGCATATCATTATCGATGACGTTTTACCTTCCGATATCGCCGAAGCGACCGACGTGTGAGGCTCGCACAGCCGCGAGAGAAAAAGGGGTGCCTCTTTCACGACCGGATTACGTTCCGAGTTACCGATTTGCTCCGGGTAGTAAATAAATAAAGCTCGTCACGAGAGTATTCGGAGCAGAGGGCGTAACATTCCCGCCACGGTTCGGTCGAAAGGCTAGGGGGTCGATCGCGTCAGCTCTCCGCATCCGTTCCCGCCATGGACCTAAGAATCTCTGGACCGAGCACGAAGTGGGAGAACGGGCAAGGGGGCTGGCAAATTTGCGGTAAGGGGGGGGCGAGAGTGCTCTCCTTTTCTGTCCTCTTGGTATCTCATGGTATCTCTTTCTACAAGAGGTCACTGTGACCTCTTGTAGAAAGAGAGGTCCAAGAGGACAGAAAAGGAGAGCACTCTCGCCCCCCTTACCGCAAATTTGCCAGCCCCCTCGCCGTATGCTCGGTCCAGAGATTCTTAGGTCCATGGTTCCCGCACGTAGAGGAACCTCTAATGGGCGCGTTCAGAAACACCACCCGAATGCTCCAGTGTATCGATGGCAACGAATTTGATTGGTCCATTTCCTTATGCATTTGCTTATAGACCAATCCAACCAACCAAAGAATCGGCTATGAATGCCGGCCTATGAATACCGGCCTTTGACCCTCAATGGAAACGTAGTCTATGCTCGTGGATGAGAAATGTAGCGTCGGCCATCTTGATTCTCTTTCACAGAAGGAGCTTGTGGAGTCAAGATGAGGTTTGTTCGTCGTCTATCAATTTAATACGTTATTCTGACAAATACCACGGCTAGATACGCTCGAACGTGCCCTATAAATCGCTAAAATCCGGCCGCTCGTGCCAGCACGAGTTCGTGATAAAATTTTACAAAAAACTGTCTGCCGCGCGTTCGTTATCGGCGACCACATGGTCCCCCATCAGTCACGATCTTCGTCAATTCTGTCGTGTTGACGATATATTTTGCAGATAGAATCTCGCGAGAAAGACGCGATTTTCCCCTGGCGAACGTTTCACGCGCGAAGACTAGTCTCTATGTATTTCTTATGATGTTCGTGAGATAACCTCACTTTTTTTCCATGCAGCTCCTTAAAGCTACAGAAGAGGCTGGCAGCCTCGGTTATGCGATGCGGCAAGAAGAAGGTCTGGTTGGATCCCAACGAGATCAACGAGATTGCTAACACCAACTCGCGTAGGTTTTACCTCCTTATAGCACTATTATTATGTTAAGTTTATCTACCGACAAATAGATCGTTCAGCTAGCCTTCTGTGTCGTAAGAAGCGACTGAAGCTGAATCTACAATAGACACAGCGAGTCGTAAACCGCAAGAAATTGACCAATCGGTCAAATATGACGAGACTAATCTACCGTCGCTGACAGATTTCTTGTGGCTTGCGACTCGTTGCTTCTATTATAGATCCAGCCTAAGGCTAATATTACATTTGTCGTACGGCAAAATTTTTAAGTGTGTCGATTGGCTGCAAGATAGAACGAGTTCTCGTGTCTCTAGAAACTTTCTAGCTTGCAATCGGCCAACGCGCTTAAAACATTTGCCGCACGACAAATGTAATAGTATAATTGTAGCTCAGATTATGCTACTCGTCTTCTGGACCCTATTAGAGTTAATAGAGCCCAGAGGATAAGTAGCGTAAAGGTAGAGTAAAGAAAAATAGTAAGAAAGGAAACAATTAAGTCGACGACGATCCCATAAAGGGAGAACTTAAGAAAAAATTATTGCTTTATTACTTTTTTAATTTGCGTACGGAGAGATTGAATTTAATTGTATTTCTCCCAGGCCAAAACATTAGGAAACTCATCAAAGATGGTCTCATCATCAAGAAGCCTGTTGCTGTTCACTCGAGAGCTCGCGTTCGCAAGAACACTGAGGCCAGACGCAAAGGTCGTCATTGCGGCTTCGGTAAAAGAAAGGGTACGGCGAACGCCCGAACCCCTCAAAAAGTATGTACATCTCCAACGGTTTGAGCAGCGATATTTATTAGCAAGGAGTGTGTAATGATTTACGCGTGTCGCGCAGGATCTCTGGATTCAAAGGATGCGAGTTCTGCGTCGCCTCTTGAAGAAGTATCGCGAGACGAAGAAAATCGACCGCCATCTGTATCACTCGCTGTACATGAAGGCTAAAGGTAACGTTTTCAAGAACAAGCGAGTGCTGATGGAGTTCATCCACAAGAAGAAAGCGGAAAAGGCCCGCGCGGAGATGCTGTCTGATCAGGCCGAGGCCCGACGCACGAAGGTCAGGGAGGCCCGTAAACGCCGCGCCGAGCGCATCGCTTCGAAGAAGCAAGAGCTGTTGCAGTCGTATCAACGCGAGGACGATGCCGCAAAGAAATAAACCGCGTGACATATTTTAAGGAAAATTAAAAATAAATTGATAAAGAAATAATCGAAGCGAGTCAACCTTTTTCTTCCGCTTTAGACCTGAGTTAATCAAATTAATCTAATCGGAATATTTATAAGAACTATTGTACAAGAGAGCAAGATAATTCAGAGATTTCAAAAGTTTGTACTTCGAAAAAATTGTAAATAGGAGACAAGCCGACGGTTTCGAAAATCGAGGGTTTTTGGATAAACAAGTATTGATTTTATAATTAAAATATAAATGAAGAGTAGACGGAGGTATACATGAAAATTTTTCTCTTGTCGATGGTTAGCTAAAGAGTTTGTTACAATTATTGGGGGAAGAAAACGAAGTACAATCATGGCTTTGCCAGCCAATAATTGTCAACCTGTAATTGGGCAATACATATGACGGGTGATATTTTCAACTAACAATTTTCATTTTTATAATGGATCACTTGCTCAACTGATCAATTATAAAGACATTTTTGTACTACGCTTGTATTATTTTAAGTATTTTTACATTATTCTTTCAAATATCTCATTTTAAGTACATGCGACTAATATTTTAAATATATGTGATCGTTTCGTGTTCAAATTTCGCGGGTGCATTTGGACCCAAATTTCATTGGCTCGCTCATCGTGCCGCCGCCGCTATGCGCAATGATACACCTTCCTTTCAGCCATTGGCGACACTGCTTACTCCCCCGTTATGGCGACGAATCTATGAACACATGTGTCACGAGAATCCACGATTCGAGGAGTCTCATTCACGCAGAGGAGATTAAGGAGCTATTCCTCGCACGTTGATTTATCGGATTACGTGATAAGATATAATTTCGCCGCCCGAGCAACCCAGGTGAGCCGAACGGTCGGGGGATTCTCGTTGCCAAGGCCGTTGCGTCGCCGTTTCGCCTGATGCAACAGCACGCCGTACGTGCGAGATTGAACTTCGCGAGCGCGAGTATTTCACACCACGTTCTTTTGCGTTCGTCGACGGATAGTGTCTCGACAGGCCTCTGACAGCTGCTGATGATTGTCCGAGAGCGGACGGAGCGTCACCACGGGAAGCAAAAAAGGTTGAAAACTGTTTGACTGTCGGTTCTGACAACGAGCGGACGAGCATGTCTGCGAGGCAAGGCGGCAGGGCAAATGCCCCGCAGAAGACGAGGGAGGAGATCAAGGCGGAGCGCGAGGCGAGGAAGGCCGCTAAGGCCAACGCTAGGGCGATCAAGACGAGCGGTGTCGAGAATGCGGCCCCAGTGGCCAACTGCAAGGCCTCAACGGGGAATGCGAAGGTAGACGTAGCAACGGGAAAAGCTAACGAAGCAGCAGGCAAGACGAAAGGTACGCCCGTGGCAGCTGACTGTAACGAGAAAGATGCGAAAGCAATAGGCGTGGCGACAAACGCGGCAGGCTCGCATCATAACGGAGAGGCGGCAGATAAGGCGATTCAGTCTACGGGCGTTGTTCAGAACGGCGCGTCCGAGGACAAGAGCAAGGCCGAGCTGCGCGCTGAACGGAGAGCCAAGCAAGAGGCCCAGAGAGCCGCGAAGCAGAAGCAGCAGCAGCAGCAGTCGTCGACGAAGAACAGCGCGAAGAGCGTGGAGGCTCCCAAACCACACGTGGAGGCTCTCAAACCACGCGCGGAGGCTCTCAAACCACGCGCGGAGACTGCGTCCGAAAGTCCGGTGACGAAAACGGTAGTCGCCAAGACGAACAGGATAAGAGGGGACGAGCACGAGGTTCACTTGTTCAAACACTTGTATCAAGAGAGGCATGACTCGCGGTTCCACATACCCATGGTGAACGCGAACATACACCTGGCGATAGTCAAGCTGGGCGTTCAGTATGCGAATAAGATTATCGTCGGCGGCAACGCGAGATGCCTTGCGTTCTTGGCCGCCATTAAACAGATGCTCCGGGACTTTGAGAGGCCGGTGCAGGCGGACTTTGTTCGTGGCTTCGAGGCGAGACTGAAGGAGTCGCAGACGTATCTGCACCATTGCAGGCCTCTGGGCGTCTCGATGCAGAACGCCATACACCACATCCGGTGGCAGATGACGCAACTTCCGACGACACTGGCGGATGAAGAAGTATACATTTGTTTTTGGCGTATAATCACATTTTTATAATTGTATCTGTTGTCTCATTTGGTGCAAAGTTGTCAAACTTCTATAAAACAAAGACAGTCAAATATGCAATAAGTACGTGGGAAACGAAGGGGAATTGGGAGAATCTGTAAACTGCACATATATATTTATATCTTTTTAAATCTCTTTACGATTAACGCTTTAATATTGATACAATTAATTTACGGTTTATTTATTGTTTAATTTGATCTGTTGCAGGCAAAGAGTAAACTGCTAGACGTAATAGATACTTACATCTCGGAGCAAATTCAACTGGCTGGCAAAGCGATATCAATAACGATACAAAGTAAAATATCGGACGGTGATGTTATTTTAACGTACGGCTAGTGAGTATATTCTGTAATCCGCTTAGCATGATCCAGAAATTAAATTCACATATATTTCTTATTCTTTGAGAATTCGTCGTTAATTTGTAATACTACATTTACGTTTACATTTCTGTGAATAATTTTTCTCAGGAAAGGAAACTTGAAATATGATTTCTAAACAGATGCCATTTTTTCAGCTCGTCTTTAATTAATAAGATATTGATGGACGCACATGCCGTGGGCAAACAGTTTAGCGTGATTGTAGTCGATGGTAGGCCGTGGCTAGAAGGGAAGGAACAGTTGAGGCGTTTAACAAAACTCAACATAGATTGCTCGTACATAATGATCAATGCTCTCAGCTTTATCATGCCACAGGTAAATAGGTGATCGCAATGAATGGAGAACTTATTTCCAAGTGTTTGAACCATGAATTTCTCAAAAATAGATTTTACACGTCACAAAGTTATATTTAAGAGACTCAAAATAACATATAGAAAATTTTCGTTTTTACTTGTTTTTAAATGCAAAAAGTGAGAACAAGTGTCCATAGGTAAGTTAATTTTTTTTCGCATTCGATTTTGGCGACAAAGCAGGTGCCAAACGAAAGATCTTGTCAAGCTGATTACAGATACGAGGTGTGTCCCAAAAGTATCTGATCTCTGCATATATCTTTGTCCTTGGTCATCCTATTGTGGAAAACGGGTATTCAGTATTTAGGGTGGACCTTTAGGAGTAACCAAGCGGCACGACCCAACAGCTGTTCAGTCGGCAACGGTACATTCCAGAGATATCTGGTTCCAAATGTTCCATTCCATTCCAAACAAACGGTTGGTGTCTGTCCAGACGGCTTTATCGCTTACGTCCTGGGTATTTTTAGAGTCCGATATCCCTGGAACGTTAAATCGGTACACTCTGAGACTAACATATCTGCGATTATTTTGACGAGACCTTTCGTTTGGTAGCTACTTTGTGGCCAAAATCAAATGCGAAAAAAATAGGGCCGATCTTGTTCTCACTCTTTGAATATAATGTAACAAACTTTGTAAACGTATCTAATGCTGATTTTTTTTTTACTTTTACCACCGAGTTAATTTATTATTTACTTGCTTAGGTCAGCAAAGTTTTTCTAGGCGCCCACGCGATATTAGCTAACGGAGCAGTAATGTCGAGAGTTGGAACTGCGCAAGTTGCTCTGGTGGCAAAAGCCTTCAACGTTCCTGTTTTAGTAGCGTGCGAAACGCACAAATCAAGTGAACGGGTACAGACTGACTCCATCGTTCATAACGAATTAGGTAAGGACAAATTTTATCATTGTAGATATCTTTAGAGATCGTGTTTATTTTATATATTTATATAAAGTCATTAAATTTTATATTATAATTATTTGTTTACTAAGCAGCGCACATTTCTCAGCGCTCATACAATTACATTTTCGTACATATATATATATGTATAAAGAGGTGACTAAAATTTTCATCTACTGTCGCAACATTCTCAGTTTATTTGCATTATCATCCATTCATTTTGCGTGACGTTTATTTCAGGTAACGCAGACGAGCTCGTGAATCATCGATCAAAGTGCAAGAGGTCACTGCTCTCAAAATGGCGAATGAAGAAATCGTTAAACCTTTTGAACATCACTTATGACGTGACGCCGGCCGATCTTGTAACGGCCGTCGTCACGGAATTGGCGATTCTGCCGTGTACCAGTGTTCCTGTGATTTTACGGATTAAGTAATATCTCGAGTAAAACCTTCCGAGTTCTGAACTATACGTACGTTTTCTGGAAAACAGATTGAAACGAAAAATTGACCGACGCATGACGGAGGCTGGGCTCGTTTGCATTCGCCCGCTCCATGACTTGGGCCGTGTGACTATGGGAAATACTCGTCTGTTTTAAAAGAGTTTCCCGGGGATGCGGCCATTCTGCGTTCACACAATGGTCCGTCACCGAATGAGATACCAAACGTCACTCTCGAGACACGCTGCTAGCACGTTATTTCTCACTTTAAATGGTGAAATAGAGTGCAAGCGATAAGAGCATCGAGTGTGGGGTCTGGATAGCTCAGTAGGCAGAAGAGTTGCACGCAAGGTTCCAGGATCAAAGCCTGGTCTAGTCCTCGCAAAGACTATTAAGCGGCGCGTCTTACAGTTCTGTTATCTGCTAGTATCTATTAGTGCCTCCCCGAAGATACCATCCCTATTTATTATTATGGATACTTGTATCTATAATAATTTATATGTATATATGTATGTATAAAATACATATATATTTATACAGGGTGTTAATTAAATACCGTCCACTAAGTACAAAGCGTTATTCCTTGTAAAAATTTCAGTCGAGAAGTCCTGAACCAGTTTTTTTCTATCATGCTTAATAATTAATGAATCAATCCACTGAGCACCGGCCTTCAGCCGGGCGCACGTCAATGAACCGCGCGCCTGGTAGTGTGCGCGAACGCTCGGCCGCCGGCGCTCAGTGGATTGACTTACCTCATTCATTACTAATTGTAAGAATGATAGGGGAAAAAAAAAGATTCAGGACTTTCCGACTCAGATTTTTATAAGAAATAACGCTATGTACTTAGTGGGCGGGCTTTAATTAACACCTTGCATATGTATATATATTGATTTAAATATACATATATTTATATATAATGTATGTGTGTATATATATAAATATCCGTATACATATATAAAAAAATTAATTTTAACCTTTATATGCGCGATAAATGTATTTATTGATTTTAACACGGGATTAATATCAATAGAATGCATTGTTACGAATATGATCGTTGAAATCAATTTTTTTAACCTGTGATACGGAAACGTAAATTTTAATTCACTTCGGAACACTTGCCAATACTTGCTAAGTTTTCTAACGACAACTAATATCTCAATTGACATTTTATACATCTAATGTATATTACAATTACTATTTAATGTAGGGCACATGCGATGTAATTGATATGAATTTAATAAATAAAGCATCGTTTCTGATAAGGTCCCGGTGTTTATGTACTTTACGAATATGCGAATCCTCGATGTCATACCTGGCGCGCTTTAAGAATAATTATCTGATCACTGTAATGCCGACCAAATTTATTGATTCGAATCTGATAGGTTTCTCCCAGTTTCTCCCTTTGATTTTTATACTTATTTTTTATAATAAACTTTCAAGTAAGACCCCTAACTGAAATTTTTTTATTTTTTATAGCTTTTATTTCTAGCAAACTGTTGTCTGTCGTGGAACTCGTGGACATATCTCCACGTAAATCTGTAGAACAGGGTATATTTTGAATGCAATTATAGCTAGACCACATACATTTTCCACGTATGTATATACAAAATGTATATAAATGTGTCGTTATGTACACAAATTCACGTGGGAAGGCATCGGCGATATTCCTAGTGTACTTGCATAAATTTTATTTGTAAAAATATAATATTTATGAAAAAAAACATGCTACCGTTAGTTCGCAGTGGCCATGTACTGTACATTTTTGTAAAATATTTTTTACGTCATTAATATTATTATGTTTTACGATCAATGCGTAATATGCTCCCCGAGAGAGCTAGGCGATGCTCGTTGCTGCGGCCACTGTAATCTGCTGCAATTCCGAATCCGGAGTAAATTCGTCAGGTTAAGTTAGCGGCCGTACCTTAACCTATAAAACCTGTAAAACATGCTTTCTAATCGATCACGGCACCGTTGAGTAAATAACGTATCACGATTCGAATACACGCGATTGTCATGAATTAAAAAGTTTCTTAAGTCAAATTTGAGAAAATATATCGTTCAAATATATACATATATATATATCGAAGTAATATTTTTTTAATAATGAGATTCAGTAATAGAAGTTGGCTCAAGACGTCGTACATTTTAAAGAGGAATGAGTTTCAGAAGATTCTCATGACGAACCTGGGCTTGACTTCCACCGACGCGGACAAATTTCTCGATACGAAGAAAAGTATCCTCAATCTACCTCGTTATCGAATGATGAAAAATTGTCTGATATGCCAGGTGGGTGTGCAAACGTAATTCATTAACTCTACGCGATGTGATTATAAATGCAGCCTGTCTTCGTTCTGAGAATCAAAATAATAGTCGACTTGATTGATCCTTTCCACTGTATTTACGATACAATTACTGGAGATCGAAGGGTCTACAAAGAATTGCTAACTGAAGCTGTAATTACTTGGAGCAGTTTGCCTGATCATTATAGACTCGCTCACAGGAGAGGGGGGGGGGGGTAAACCACTGACCAAAATCTTGTACACCAATGCCTACTAATGCCCGGTGGGCATTACTTTATCTTATTTTATCTTTTTTATCTTTTTAGATTCTTTGTAATGCCCCAGCAAGGCCGAACGACACCCGCTACTGCCTAAAAAAATGCCTAGTAACGCCTGAAATCTGTACACCACAATACCCTCAGCGGTTTACCCCTCGCTCGCTCATTTTAGAAGAAATGTGTCTTGAGACTTTTTTTAGAATCAGTCTTGCATTTGTTCCTCTAGATTTTTATTTCTCTTCTCTACTCTTTGTGCATTCTGCAGTTATGACGCGATCGTTCCAAAATGAACGATCCAATCTGCCTTCGCTTTAAATGATGTACAATAATATCTTATTTATTGACTGCAGAAGTATAATGTCAAAGTGGAGTCCCTGGAAAAGCTTCAATATTGTCTGAAATTGCTCGACTACACGTTGGAGCATAGAATTAATGTGCTCAAAGACATAGGAGTGCCGGTTATAAATGTGTCCCTAGTGAACAAGTAAGTCAACAGCCGACGAAATTATTTACGTTCTGCGAAGCGCAAGTAGGCGTTTGTTCTCACAAATTTTTTAATTCCAGCACAATCTATCATTTGCATAAAAAGGTGTCCAAGTTCAAGGAGGCTGCTAATATACCAGCCAACCAAGACATTGCTGAGCACATATTCGACGGCAGGGTTCCTGAGGATATTTCCCAGTTAGAATTGAGTGATAATTTGACAGTCCTGGAATACTATCAGAGGTGTCTGCTGTACTACAAAACTCGGGTATTCGGTCTGCCATATTTGGACGATAAAATATTATTGAGCAGATATATGAAAATAAAGAGTATAAGCATGATTGCGGACACGCTGAAAGTACTCAGGGTTGATCTCCAGTACGACGACAAAATGGCAAGTGCGGCTTCGGTATTAAAATTTATTTATACGAATTTCTTTATGAATGAATTTCCCCCGATCAGTTTGATAGAGGGAAAGCGAGAGTGTGAATCTTGGTCAATTTCTCAAAGCCTCTGCTTTAAGTTATTTCTTCACGTTGCTTTCTTGACTTAGTTAAATCTTAGTATTACTAAGTTCTTACTGATTCTATAACATATATTTACGCGAGTTTATCTTTTAAGCAGATAAAGAAAAATCCTTCGGTCGTCATCGCTTCCGCCGATAACATCAGGTCGCTGTTAAGTAGTTTTACAGACATCTTAGACATACCGATTGTAACGTTACTGAGGAAGCACCCTCACATACTCTTTCAAGACGTGCACAATATTAAACAGCTACTGATGTTGTTCAAACAATACGAAATCCCGGAGAAATACGTGAAGAGATATATGAAGGTTTTCACGACAAGTAACGAAGCCTTCCACGAGCGAATGGAGATGATGAAACGCCACCCGAATCTGAACATGTGGTACAAGCATCCGCGATTCTTGCAAATTGTATGCCAAATAAAGAAGACGAAGCAACGTCTGGAATACATTGACATCATGGATTCTTCCAAGTGGGCCAATCCAAACACTTTCCTGTCTTCAGCGGCAGCAATAGACAAGTAAGAGTAAATCCTTTGCGAATGTAGTTGAAATATTGAACAACTCTCTGTGTAGTTCTATACATTTGTGTGACGATGAATGTATGTACATATACTTTTAATTTTATTTCTTTTAGATCTCTACAAACCGGCCTAGTTTCATCCAAACGTAATTTAAGGTATATATTAATGAAGGAACTGGGGGTGGACGCGAGCGATTTGCTAATGAGACATCAACATTGGAAGACGGTTGCGTTTGTTGATATCATGCAGATGTTGAAATACCTAAAGAAACATTTTACGATAAATGAGATACGCCCGAATATACACATCGTACTCTATGAACAGTAATGATCATATTTACTTTATAATAGAATTATTATTTTAATTAGACGCAATTTAGAATATCAAACAAAAAGAATAATTTAAAAAGTATTTTAAATTGTAACTTCCCTATTTTTTGCTTTCTCAATCTGCGAGCTTTTCTTTTAATACTTTGCTATACTGTGTTAGACGACTAATTAAATCTCCTGTTTCTTTCGTTCAGATCCAGAGTGAAAAAAGTACTGGCTGACCTGAAACGACAGTACTCTCAGAGTGCAGAGTACTCGTTTACTGATAGCCAGTATCTCGCGTTATGCCTGTACGTGCTGGAGAAAGGTAATCATTTTACAGGCGACGGCGTTTGGAGCAACGAACAGAGCTCGAAGCCACAGTCTTTCGAAGAACAAAATGCTGTAGAGAGGTTTGGCGATAATACTGTGGAAATTAACACTAAGGATTTGAATAGAAGATAACGATGGTATTGATCACAATGATATAGACGTGTAATATAAACGTTGAAACAACAATATACATAATGTACATAAACGTTTTTTTTTACTTGTATAGAATATCTTACAATTCATGTTACAGAAAACACAGGCTGTATATTCATAATGTACGTAATGTATATAAAAGTGGCATGGAGAAAATACAGTGATATGTTCCAAACGAGGCTACGAAACGGAAGAATACTTATAATCGAGTTCGTTGATTCTCTTTTAATTACAAATTATCTTTGCACGCTATTCGCATAAAGCTCGGATACGCGACGAGATTACATCAGATTTGCCTCGTTTTCCGTTCATTACAAATTATTTTTATACAGAAACTGAATATTGCAAGATACATAAAGCGAGATTACGTCGGTTAAGATTCACTCTCTTCTAAGGCACGCAAAGGCACTGCGCATAAGGTATTAATTATTCAAGGCACGGAAAGTTGTCTCGAATTATATTACAAATCTAATAATACATTTGGTTTTGTGCTTTCTCTCTCTCTTTCTCTCACTCAATTCAATCACTCACTCACTCATTAGCCGAATTGGATTTAAAAAAATTATTTTCCAAAATAGGGTAATTATTATTAGCATAATATTAAAGAATTATTTTCATTATATTTTTATCCTTACTAAGAAGCGTTTTCGGATGCTAATGAAGTATCGATAGTCATCGCGAGATGTCGCTCCAAGTGTCTTAATTCTTTATTTTGGTTTTCTTCACTTTATTTTTCAAATTCGTTTTGGGATCACGCAGATTGAGACATAAAGTTGTTAGAGCGAAAATAGAATTCTTCTCTTATATAAATAGATATATATATATATATATTCCTTTTCTCTTCTGTTAAATAAAATATTTTATATTCTCAGGATATTTTTTTTTATATCCTTCTGTTCTTCGGTGTTCTGTCTCGCATAGATGTTCAATCGACTTTGAGCGATTTCGGCCAAACTCCGATTAGTTTACTCGGTAATTAATCTAATCTGATAGCAAAGTTTTCAACTAATTCACTGCTTCTAGTTTCTAATCTTTCGAAACGTCGTGTATTAATTGAGAAATATGCTGTGCCAGTTATTGTCGACAACTCTTGAATTTTGTATTTTATTCACTGGCGATCCACCTTTCTGACGATTTTTCTAATCTTTCTTTTCACACGAAACAATAAAGAATTAATAATTCCGTCCGTGGTAACAAAATGCTGTGTTTTGTAAAATTAATTGCCGATTAAGTTAATTGGGATTTGGTCCAAGTCACTCTCACGCATAAAGCGACGCGTCACTCGCGATCACTCAGGCAACAAGTACAGAAACATCGCGGCTGTCGCAACGCGAATATTCGAGCTCGAGATCCTAGGACTTATCATTAATCCTTCGTAAGATCGAAACGCTACGAATCGATCCGGGATCTCACCGACGCTTACGGTTTAAATGGCATTTTTCAATGAAAAATGTACTCCAATCTCTCAATTTGATGTCGTTAATATTCGAATTTTGCTCGTTCGCCATCGAAAGCTACGAATGCGTAAAAAGTAACAGCCGGTGCGAGCCCGGGTCCAAGTCACGCGACCTAATTGCGTAAGCCCAGGACCTTAATACTCCTCGCGCTCGTCGCGAAAACTCGCAGACAGATCGCAGAGGTCGCCTAGAAGAGATCTAGAGCGGAGGAGGCCGCGAGTCAGTTCAGAAAAGGAGGCAGCTGCACGTAGCTCTGCTGACTGCCGGGCTCGCTCTTGACCATGACCTGATCCTTCATGGCCTGGCGCGCCTGCGGCGAGTGTATGCCGTAGTCCTGCTTCTGATCGGCCGACGGCGGCTGCTGCTGCTGCTGCGGCTGGCCGTAATCCGCCGCGGCCTGGTCGTGCGCGTACTTGTCCGCGAGGCAACCACCGTGCTCGTCCTCGGACATGGAGTTGCCCAGGTGGGTGGGCGGCGAGTGCGTCGTCACCATGGTCTGATAGTCGGCGCGGGTGAGGGGGCCGCCGGGCGGTGGCGGGCTGCTGCCGCCGCCCGGGTTCATGTAGTCCTGGTGGACTCTCATGGTGTTGCCTGCGGCGGCCGGCGTGGTGAACAACGCGGCGTCGTGCTGCGTCGGCAGCATGCTCGCGTACGACGAGTACGAGACGCTGCCGTTGTTGCCGAAGCCGGCGGCCGCGGCCGCCGCGGTCGAGTACGGCGAGTTGGACGGGCTCAGCAGATTCAGATGGTTCAGGTCGTACGCCGCCGGCGAGTATGCCCAGGCGTCCGGCGGCGCCGTCGCCGCCGTCGGCGACGCGAACGGGTTCAGGGTGTTGTTGAGTGACGTGAAGGAGCCTGGAAACGTACAGTGTTCCAATCAATGGAAAGGAAGAGAAAGCACAATTGTGTACCCTGTTGAAAATTTTTATGTAAATTTTTCAAATACTTTCATTGAAAAAGAATTATTTTAATACAAATTGGTACACTTTTCAGTAGTGCTCAGAAGGTTTATCTTTTCTCAAATTCTCTATGTGTATGAATTCTGAAATATTCTAAGATTTCAAAGATTTTTTGTTCTATAATCTCCAGACGTAATCTTATAAGATTTGAAACAGTTCTACATGTTTTTCCAGAAATCATAGAATGAACAATCTTAGAACTAGAATATTTCAGAATATTCACATGTATGAAAAATTCTGAGAAAAGAAGTAGACTTTCTCAGTATATGAAAGTATTTTCAATTCGTATAAAAATTCTGAGAAAAATTTCCGCCAGAATAGAACTCAAGAGACGTAAAGTATACAATATAATTTGTAGCGCGCGTATGTCGCGTTAGATGGAGTGAAAAATAGTGTTTTATACAAACGAGTGTTTTATAGGAAAATAATGTTTTCGATACGTGCGATATATAAGATATATAGCACAGAAAAATAACGTGATATGCAGACTGGAGGAATGTAATTTCAAGATATTTCAAATTTAAATCCCTCTTTGCTATTTTTCATGACTTATTGATTATCGTGTTGACAATGCTTGATAAATCGCAAATATTTTTTTGTACTGATTTCTTTGTTAACATCTCTCTGCTCTCTTTTTCTTCAAAAAGATCCCGTCGCTTCCGAGAACGTGGGTTCTTTCAAAGATGTGCAACTTTACCTGACAGACCGGGGCTGGCGGAACCTGCGGCCATGTAACCGGCGGTTTTACGCGGCGGTTCCTTCTTCCGCCACTTGGCACGGCGGTTCTGAAACCACACCTGCACGCGAGTTTCTGAGAGGGCGAGCTTCAGCGCGAGTTCGTCGCGCGCGAAGACGTCCGGATAAGGCGCTCGTTCGAAGGCCCTTTCCAATTCCTCCAGTTGGTAAGCCGTGAAAGTTGTTCTAAAAGCGATCGAATATAAAAATCGAGCATCTCATATATTTAGATGTAAATAATGTTGGTTACAAATCAACTGAGGGGTGGAGAGAAAATTTTGGTTCGATGTCCATAAATATAAATAAAAAATGCATTGATACTTTAAACTTAAGATATTTAATAAATTTAATAAACGGTTTTTAATAATAAATTTATAAAATATTATACTTTCGAGAGGGCATTTAAATATCAAGTCTATGACGCAGTTCCATCTCGTGCAAATACCTCGTCTTTTTCTTCTTGATGTTATTGTTGTCAGTCTTCTTTTTAGAGTCCTTCTTGGCTGGCTGCGCCTCGCTGCTGACTGTAAAGTTAATATTTCTTCATCAGTCGAAAGATTGGAAAATGCGAGAAGTGTTTTAAATACGTCAAGGAACTTACAACGTAAGGAGCCACAACCGTTTCTAGAAAGGGATTAAGAAAAAGGACAAGAGGATGGTGTCGTGTCTCGAGGGGGACACGGTTCGCGATGAAAAGAAAACTAGTTACCTGGCGTGAGCGCGTTGATCGGATCGTCCTTCCTCTTGAGCGCGTTGCCAAGTTGCAAACCCTGCTGAAGACTCGTCGAGGTCGGCGTGACGCTGGTAGACGTCGAGGTGGTGACGTCCTGGGTTTGCGGCGGCAGCGGCGCGTACATGCCGGACAGCTCGAGCTCCTTAAGCTCTTTCTGCTGCTGCTGCTGCTGCTGTTGCTGCTGTAGATGATGCTGATGCTGCGACGCGGCCTGATGATGCGGCGACGGGCTGTTAGACGAGTCCAGCTTGTGGAGCTGACCACCGGCGGTCGGCATCAGGTCGCCGCTTCCGTGATGGCCGCCACCCCCATGCAAGCTCAGCATCACCTGGATACTGTGGGCCCCGGTGGTCCCGCCGCGCGTCCCAAAGTCCGAGAAGATCGGATCGTCCCACGAGGGTGCGCCGTCCATCTTCGGCGACTTCTTCCGTGATTCCGCGAACGGACACTCTTTCCCGATGGATCGTTCGCGCGCCTCGTCGGGGTGTAAAACTTGCACGAAGTAGATCTTTCTCGATCTCAAAGAGATCTGTTAGTGCCGAACCGAAGGTGAGAAACGGGCGAGTTTCTTGGATGTCGATTGATTATTAATTATTTTTGCTGGCTCTTTCTTCCCTCGCGCTGGAGCTTTGACTCTCGTTCCGCGTTTCCATTCCACGTACAGCTCGTAATGACGTTTATTTTAAAAAGTCGGATTGTGCGCAATCAACACTCTTGCAGAACCTTCGATTTCCGAATCTCGAACGACTTAGTCTAACATGCGGCAGGCAGTCACAAGTCACTTCTGTTATCTTCCGTGAAGTCCCACTCTTTTCCGGATCTCTGTGCAATTTCACATCTTCAAGAGGATCGAGTGACCAGCACGGTCAAATTGAAATCCGAGAGCCAGCGAGATCGCCGTCTCACACACCTTGGCATCGTTCACGCCCGTCATCGAGGGCTCTTCCGAGATTCTTTCCGCTTCCCGTCGATAGAAAAAAAAAGGGAAGAGAATCGGGCGTCGCGCCCGATTGCCCGATTGCCCGTAATGGAGCGCGCGCGGCAATTGCGATCAATTGTTGCCTGGGTTATGATTAATTTTGATTAGTTTTAAGCGGCGTTAACTCGCGCGATGCGCCGGCCGATTATTCGCGGCGGACCTTGGAAGAACTGGACCGAAAACGTCTCCCTCGATACGAGAGAACCAACGGTCCGTCCTCTCTTCTCTCTGTCGGGACACTCTCGCCACTACTCCACGTCCCGAGCCTCTGGCTAATCAGCCGCCACTCACACAGGCTTATATTTTCCGCGTCACGCCGGCCCAGACCGCCCCCATACCCGGGGCCCCGGCCAATCGTGCTTCATGCGGGCGCGGTGATGCTGCCCCTCATGGTCCAGCGCCATCGTTCTCCTCGCTCCGCCGTTTCCGCGGGCCCCCGTGGTCAGCGAGCGACTTGTTCCCTTCCCCCCTTCTTCATTATCTCTCCCCCTCCCACCTCTTTACGACCTGCGCGCAAAAAAAAACGTCTCTCGATCTGCTGGCGCGCGGACGGGGGTGGAAATGACACGGGGGTACGAAGCATCCTGTCACCCGTGCGAGGGTTACAAGACTAGGCGTTCGTGGGAATAGAAATAAGAGAGAGAGAGAGAGAGAGAGAACCGCTCTCTCTCGCCTCGTGGGAAGTGGACGAGTTTCCCACCTTGCCAGTCTCCGCAATTGCGTTTGGAGGTGAATAAATACGTAATGCGAGACGGATTCAAGAGGTATTAAGAAAAGACGTGGGGAGAAGTTCGTCGGAGAACGTTAGGAAGGTCCAAACAATTTGGAATTCGCGCTAACAGCGAATCCCCCTTTTTTTTTCTTCCATTGCAGCACCCGATGAAGCAAACTGCAACGTTTGGAGGAAGCGTAGGTGATCAACGTGCAGCGTGTAATCTCCTTACCTTGATCTCACACGTTATAAATTGCGATATTTACGCTCTTCGACTCCTTCTTGTCCTGGTACCATCTAATCGTGTCAAACTCTTCAGGCGCAGCACGACGACGCGCAGTGCGCGTGAATCTCCCGTCGATCAGCCGTCGTCCAAATCTTCGATCTCCTCTCCTCCTCTCCGATCGAATGAATTGCCATCGTCGAGAGATAAAGAGATATCCGCGAGACGCGTGCAACGTCGCCAATTAACAATTCCTCCGCCCTCGTGTTCTTCTTCTTCATCTCTGCCTGCTAGCACCCCGGCGAGAAATGACCCGTCGGTTTCCCTTCCGTCGTCTTCCGCCCTCGACGAAACGCAGCTCGGTGGCCGCGCGATATTTCCGCACCACGCACTCTTCCCGGCAATCTTGTTGACCACTTGTACCACTCGGCGGCTAGGTGGGGAAAATCCCGTAGCGCGCGGAAACGCGCACGGGAAGATCCGCGCGCGGACCCGGCGTCGATCGTGATCGCGAGAGGTGCACGGTGGTACCTTCGCCGCCCCGAGGAAGAGATCCATGTCTCTGTTGGCCGGCAGTTGGCGTAGCACTGAGCCCAGGGCACTCTTAAGCGCAAGCTCAATGAAATCAGCAATCGCCAGGAATTGCCTCGAATTGGCCCAATCAAACCACCCCCCCGTGCCCCGTGCGCATACGCGCGTATATTAACCGCTAATTTTCGTCGCTGGTAATTAGCGCGCGCTTGTATACGCGATTTCGTCGCGCCGCGCTCTCCGCTCCGATCGCCTCCGTCCGCGCCACCGATCGACCCCAATCATCTCCTCGGCATTACCTCGTCGCTGCTCGATAGCTCCGTTACTTCCTCACGTTTGTACGAGCTGCCAATTCGGGACTCGCTTCACCCGTTACATCATCTTATTTCATTGTATCGACTCCTATCGAGGTGCTGGATTATTTCTCTGTTCACTGTTTCATTAAGAAGCGTATTCCATATTAAGATAATGGGAATTAACGTAAAAAGAAATTATCGTTTATTGTTTATTGCGCGACTATGTGAAGAGGCGCGGCAACGTTCGAATGGTAATTAAATCTGTAACGATGTTGGCCTGACATTGTTATAAAAGGTATTTAAACGTGCTACGTGTCGGTTATTATGCAATCAGAAAACAAATTTGATGTTAGAAGTACGTTCTTGTAGGACGTTCTTGAATTTAATATAAAAGAATTCGTTGTCTATCGAACTTTATTGATCAAGTCTCATTTTGACTAGCATAGTTGGGAAAGAACTATACATACCTTAAATGGCATATTTCACTTTGTGGGATACATTCTCCGGTCAAAGCGCGCCCGTTCGTCGACCGTTTTTATCTCGTAAAATAATCGACAGGGGGGGAATACAACGTTACGAGGGATACCGTAATTAATATAAAACCTTCATGGCGAAGGTGCGATAAATGCGGGCGTCTGCATCATCGTGGCGCATCGTCTCGCCATTTTAACGCGCAGACCTAAACGTGACAGCAGCTTATCGCTCGATCTAAACATTTCAACGATGTATCAATTAATCTCCAGGCGTTGCTGCAATTTCGACGCACGAGTCACCTAGATGTTAAACATAAAAGTTCCTACTTCATATTTTACGTATTTTTTTTCCTGCTAGTATTAATATTATTGCATCGAGACCTAGCGTCTCGTATTAGATCGCACTTGTAGGCTTTTAAGACCAATTGCGTTCCCAACTCATTGTCAACACGACAAGGTGTTTCAACAGCGAGATCCCCCGCGGCGGCTTAATTTCCAATTTCACGGCAGAGCAGGAGATCTCATGCGGGACGTTCTAGGGCGTTTCGGGACATTTCTCCACGTCGGGGAGGATCGGGCCCCAGGAGGTCGACGCGCGGCGGCGGCGGCGGTGGCGGCCGCAAGAGAACGAGGAGAAGTCGGTAACTTAACTGGCCTAAATGGGTTTAACTCGATGTGATTTTGCTGGCGAACCACTAAATTGAACGAATACGAACTAAACTGAACTCAACTAAGCTAATCATATCACATTACTAGCGTTATTAGCCGAGCGACGATATAAGTGAAGGTCCGGTGAGCGCCGGACTGCAGTGTAACGCAGCCTCCTGCACCGACCCTCCGCATCCGCGACTTTCTCTCGCATCCGCGCCGCCCGCCATCTTGCCATCCGCGCGGGACGCACAAACATGACCTACATAATAACGGCGCGTTCGCCGGACCGCGGTCAGGTGCTCGAGATTCGAAGGGTCGGTCCGAGGAGGATTCGCGCCGGTGTGTGATTCCCCGCCATCGCGTTTTCGCGCCGCCGCGGCTCCGACGTAACCGGAAGTGCCGCGCACCGGGTGGCCGCGAGTCGCCCTCGCGTCGCGTCCAAGAGCGAGGCTCCATGTTGGTCCCGCGGTGCAACGTCATAATTCGCGGGCCGCGAATATCCGCGTGGAAAAATCGCGGCGCGTCGAACGGCGCGGCGAGTTGAAAAGTAGGCGGCAGGACGGTCGAACCCTTTTCGAACCCTTTCAAGTCTCTCTGTTCCGTGTCAGATGATCACCCCGCGCTTTCTCCGACCTTCGACGCGTCTCGCTGGATGGACAGTGCGCGTTTTTATCGCTCAAAATCCGTCTCGTTTGTAACACGACGATTACATGCAAATGATGCGCATCGGCGACGGACGGAGCGGACGGATGGAGCGCGAGAAAAAAGGGACGAGGAACGCGTGAAGTGCGCACGAGGAAGGAGACCGCGTTACGCGCCCCACTCCATTCCGCGACGCGGTTGGACGAAGTCCGAAGAGAGATAAGAAAAGAAGACAAGTGCGATACGTCGTCGCCCCTCTACTTCGCGCGGAGGGGGGTAAAGTGGCGCGGCCTCTTCAGCTCCACCTCTTCGCTCTTTGGCTTCCGTCAAATCAACCCTCGATACGTAGCGCAGATATGCAAATTGTTCCAGAATCTGCTCTTTTTTTAGCTGCGCTTTCGGTACATACGTGTAGATTTAAAAAAAACGAAGGAAAGTGATAAAAGGAAGGAAAAACGTGGGTACACGCCAAGGAAGGGACAAAGATCGAGAAAGAAGTGGTTTAATCGAAAAGAACATCTCTACATACATGTATATTTAAAATAAACACCAACAGTTACGTAACATGAATATTATAAACGATAATATTCATAAGGCTTTGACGTGAAATCAAAATTCGAAGGAATACAGGATATAAGAGCCAAGGCAGGATGTCAGTGTCTAAATGATTTTAATTTTTTAATTTATTGCGAAAAATTTACCTCAGCCACGGTTAATTAATATTATAATTTCGCACTCAGCAACATAAATGTAATATAACACACGTTGTACAAAACAGCTACATTGTAGGAAATTGTAGTTGATGTTATGTAACTGTTAGTTGTGTGTGTGCGGTGTCTACATGGCGAGAATTTCCTCTTAAAATTTACCCTGAAAATTGTGTAATCATGGGACATGGCATTTTGAAGAGTTGTATGAGAGTTTTTTGAAATGCCATGTCATCTCACGGTTATATGTTTTTCAGGATAAATTTCAAGACAAAATTCTCTCCGTGCACTTGGTTATGAACTATTCGCAATGTCTCTTTTACCTTTCGTTTAACACAGAATTACTAAAGAATTTGTATCCATCAAAATCACGCAATAAGTACGTTTTATATCGAATCGCTAGTTTGAAGGATCTGTCTCTTAAAAATGTAGCTTCTATAATTGTATCAGTTCAGATTAATAATATATAAAAAATTATAATTTGTTTTTTTTACACGTCGTCCATCGTTTGTCGCATACATAAGCCAAGTGTTAAATTTATGGTAAATTTTCTGTAAACGAGGGAACCGATTTCAATTATTTCACGAAATAATTATAATAGTCGGAACATCGAAACTAGCTCGTTCAAATCATTACATTTTTACCAGAATTGTAATTTGAAGAAAGAAGTTTCCAATGTGAATAAAATACTATAAGAACGGTTGAGATATCTTAATAAAATATCCTTTAATTAGATATTACAGCAATATTATGTAATTGTAAGTGCAAGTACACACAGAATCCTTCTGGATTATGTAAGATTTTGCAAACTACAGACACGAGGTCGGATCTAATCTTCATCACGGGAGGAAACTTCGTCAGAAAAGCACGCACGCAAGAGAGAGAGAGAGAGAGGGGGGGGAGGGGGAGACGCAGATGCTCGACCTCTGGACGGTGGACTTCTTTTTTTTGCACGTCATCCGTATTTTTTTCCGTCGCAGGTTTGTCATAGCGTTTAACGACGAACGTGCGATGCTACCCGCAGCGTCGGGGCCCGCCAATTGAGCCTGTTAACGTTCAATTGGTCTAAATTGCCTCAATTGGACGTAATTACGCGAAGGCGACGAGGAACCTCCGCCATGTTTCTCTCTTTCTCTCTCTCTCTCTTTCTTTCTCTTTTTCTCCGTGCCGCAAATATCATCAATGAGATGTTACGCGTTCTCAAGCTCTTCCTGCCGACTTCACTACCGATATCGTGCTGTTAACTG